TTTCTTTCATAAACTAAATTTTTAAATGATTTTCATCACCACTATTCTTAAAAAAGTTAAGCATATACTATTTTAATATGTGTTACCAACATGGTAGGCAGCTTAAGCTTTTTCATATACAACGTATTTTTTTGCTTAAAATTGAAATTTTTATTCCATTTTAATACCACTGGGAAAAATCATAATGGAAGTGATTAAAAGTTGGCAGGTATGCATCTCCACATCACTCCTTGAAAAACTCAAAACATGCCAGAACAAAATCCTCAGGATAATAACAAAAGCAAGATGGTTTATCAGAAATAAAAACATACATCACGACCTCAACATAGATTCCTTAGATCATCACATTGCGAAGCTAAATTTCAGATTTTTAAAAAAAACCTTAAATTGTGACACCGCAGGATTCAACGAAATTTTTACTTTTGAAAACTTAAGAGAAGACATAAACCTCAGGCCGATGGCAGCTTACTTTTGTAGTGCCGTAATTTTATCTAAAATTCAAAATATTTAAATTCCTTTTACTTCAATTGCATTCCAATTACCAGAAAGAACCACCCTAAAGTTCACAATTCAAGACGAATGGGAAAAAGGTCTCTAACGGCCCCAGGAGCCCAGATAAATATTGATGATGATGACGATGATGTAGTTGTCCACAGAAGTTACGTTTCCGCCTAAAATTGTAATTTACGTACCATTTTACTTCCACTGGAGAAAATCAATCTCGAAAAGAATAAAAGTTGTCAGGTATGGAATTATACAACATATTTCGATAACGGTAAATATTTATAACTACGATAAGTTCGATAAGTTCTAATCAAATTTGCTAAGACACAAAAAGAAACACAAGTTACCATTTAAGTATGTGTAATAATTTATATATATCTACATTGTTTTTTGCATCAGTCTACATTGCACTAAGTTTTACACTTTTCTTTCTTGAATTATATAACATATTTCTATAACAGTAAATATTTATAATTACTACACAGATTCATCAAGTTGAAAAACTCAGTTAGTACAAGCCAAACTTAAAAACAAAATATTACTTAATCTTTAAATTATCGTGATAAATTTATAAAAGAAATCGTAACTGTTTTTAAAAATTTATTTTCAGCTATTGCAATGTAAATTAAATAAGTTTCTTTTGAGCATGAACTTTAAATAATTAAAATTTATGTATTACGGAGGCACAAAACTCTTTTCTTTTTTCATTTTTTTCTCGTTTGATAAAGAACTGCAGGCACTTTTTGGCAGGAATTCAAGAAGCTATAGTAATTTTGTTTAAAGCTATGGATTTCTATTCTTCGCCAAAATCTCCAAATAAAATGTTTAGGTTCAATACTAATGTTCCTTGATTCACTTTTAAGGATCCTAAAGGATATACTAAAAATAGTTATTTAGCAATCATGAAGTATTATCCGTTCCACTGGTATAGATTTTTCTTGACTGCTTGAAAGTGATGTTTTCGGATTGGATCTTGTTAAAGCCGAAATTGTTTTTTTTTTCAATAAAAATACCACTCTGACTAGTAAATTTGCAATAAATGCTGTTTAAACTCTTGCAGAAAAAAATACATATATATATATTTATTTATTTTATTGGAGACATTAGAAAATAGTATAAAATAGGAGT